CTCGTCCTTCTTTGGACCGAATGGATCACTATCCAATCCAAGGCTTCTCACCACCATTGGGCCTGGTCAATGGGCGGGCCTGGTCCTTATTAAATATCCTTGAGTACTTTTCAGTATATGCCTTTTGATGCACAAGGATTCCATTATTCATGTACTCAGGTTGTAATCTCAAACAGAACTTAATTATTGCCTAGGTCTTTCTTTTAGATATATTCAACTGTTTGGTCGATTACCCAGAGGTTTAAATTATTCATATACACTGCTATGATTACAAATCCTTTGTTTGCAAACCTCTTTATGAAAATACATGGACTAATGGGATCATTTATAACATTCCATATGCCCATTTGGTCTAAGTCCATGAAAGGATTTGTCCAGCCTTATGCAGTGATATTCTCGAGAATCTTTCTTATCTTTGAGCTCAATACCCTCTGGTAATCTCATATATATTATCCAGTGGACTTATATAAATATGCAGGCATTACATCCATTAGCCGCAAATCAAATCTTTTCCTTTATATAGCCAGACTTAGCATCCACCACAGGGGAGTATGTTTCTTCATAATCTATCCCCGGTCTTTGTGAGAATCCTTGTGCTATAAGCCGTGCCTTATATCTCACGATTTCATTATTCTCATTTCTCTTCTTCACAAAGACCCATTTGTGTCCTACTAGTTTTTACATCGAATGGTGTCCTTAAGGTCGGACCAAACTCATTCCTTTTCTTAATGATTCTTAGCTCCACGTTTTATGGTCTTGTACCATTTAATCAATCAAGTCTTTGAGTGCACTCTAGTATAGACGTGGGCTCCTGATCCTCATTTATATTCATAAATTCAAGTGCTACCTTGCATGCAAAATCATCTTATGTCGACATTTCTTATATGTTCCATTATGTTCCAGACATGATATAATCGATTTGAGATTAATTATTATCAGGACCTTTAACACTTTGCAGCTTGGCGTCCCAAGCTACATTGTTTGGTACATGTACCTTAGAGCCGGCCGGCCTTATCTCCATGTCTGGGATGGTTTCCTTAATAACCTCGGTTCCTATTGCACCTTTCTTTAATTTCCGAGGATTTTTTTTTATCATTGGAACCTTATTGGTCTACCACGTCTCATACGTTGTCTAGACTCTGTAGCAACTTGACTAAGTCCCTTTTGGACATCAATTCGTACTGGTGCATTACAAGCTGGTATGTACGATTTTGTAACTTTCTTTTGGGTCAGCAAAGGAATCTGGCAATTGATTAGCTAGCTTTTCAAATGTATAATCTTATGGACCTCTGATTCTCATGCCAGAGTCGGAGGATCTTGCCAATTTAAGGATGTTTGATTCCATGATATTTCTTTTATTGCTTTACCCAGCTTGTTCGTCTCTCCACCTAAAGTAGGAAACTCGGATTCATTAAAATGACAATCCGCGTATCTAGCCTTAAATAGATCACCCGTAGTTGGCTCTAGATACTTAATAATGGTGGGAGAATCAAATCCAACATATATTCCCATCCTCCTTTGAGGTCCCATCTTTGTTCTATGTGGTGGAGCAATCGGTACATATACGGCACACCCGAAAGTCTTTAGATGGGATATGTCTGGCTCATGACCCATGAGTAATTGGGATGGTGAATATTTATGTTCACTAGATGGCCTTATGCGTATAAGCTCTGATGCATGTAAAACAGCGTGTCCCCAAGCGGCTACTGGAAGCTTCGACCTCATGAGTAATGGTCGAGCTATCAATTGAATTCGTTTAATGAAGGATTCCGCTAATCCATTCTGTGTATGTACATGTGCCACGGGATGTTCCACACTTACCCCCATGGACATACAGTAGTCATTAAACGCTTGGGATGTTAATTCACCGGCATTATCTAGACCTATAGTCTTAAGCGGAAAATCTGGAAAATGGGCTCTCAGTCTTATGATCTGGACCAACAACCTAGCAAACGCTTGGTTTCTAGAGGATAATAAACAAACATGCGACCATCTTGTCGATGCATCAATGAGGACCATGTAATATCTAAATGTCCCACATGGTGGGTGTATTGGTCTACATATATCTCCTTGTATCCTTTCTAGAAAGTTTAAGGTTTCTATATTTACCTTAGCCGGTGATGGCCTTATAATGAGTTTCCCTTGTGAACATGCTTCACACTTGAGATTCTTAGGGATAACTCTTTTCTCTTTTAGGGTGTGCCCCTTTGAATTAGTTATTAGTTTACGCATCATACTATGACCCGGATGGCCAAGCCGGTCATGCCATAAAGTGAATTTCTCGATGAACTCTTTGTTCATTGCCATATTAGCTTCGATCATATCGATTTTAGCATAGTAGAGACCAGTGGATAATGCGGGTATAGTCTCTAGGACTTTCTTATGTCCTTTGGTGATCTCAATTATATTTAGGAATTCTTTGTTTCCTTCACCCTTTGTTTCAATATGGAAACCATTCAATCTTATTTCTTTGAAACTCAATAAGCTCCTCTTTGAGCTGGGTGAATATAAGGCATCGCTTAGTTCAAGATGCGTGCCATTTGGTAATAGAATATGGGTTTGGCCGTAGCCCTCAATAAGATTTGCTATACCTGCTATAGTGCTAATATTGGCATTTTTTCATTATGAGATTTAGGAAAATATCTCTTATCTTTTGTGTGGCTCCACTATCCACCACAAATATGTTCTTGTCCTCGGCCATTTCTTATATGGACAAGAATCATGTTTTAAACATAAAATAATATAAAATAAATTCAAGGAAATAACAATCAATGAAAACATAAAATGCAAAGAAAACATAGAGGTTTTGATGTCGAACTCAGATTTATCAACTTGATTCTTTTAGGCAATCAGAAGTCTCATACTCTATTAGATCATCTTGATCATGTTCACCATTTTTATATACCAAATGGGCTTTAGGATTCTTCCTTTTCACACTCTCTTGATAGAGGTCACAACGATGTTTGGAATTCCTACATATCTTAGCCCAATGGTTCCCCATTCCACATCTATGACATACTCATTTGGTCGAGTGTTGTGGTTTGGAAATACCACATCGTCCTCGCCCTCGACCACGGCCGGAATTAGGTCTACATCCACGGTTATAGTGGTTATAGTGGCCACAACCACGTCCTTTCCATCCACTACGGCTACGACCGTGTGGTCTATTACTTTAGACGTGGTTAGATTCTTTGGATTCTTTCTTATCCTCTGCGGCCTTATTGGCATCAGGTAATGGGGTTAATCTATGAGGTCGTAATTCACTGTTTTTATCAGTAAGTCATTATTTTGCTCATCTAGCAATAGACTCATCCATGGACTTATAGTCCTGGATTATGAGACTCTCAATAAGATGGTGGCTAATATTGTCTTGTATCTATCTTTCTCTCTTGGCATTATTGCCTTATTAGATACATTCACCAAGTCTTTTTGACTTTTAGGATAATCTTAGTATCCATTGCCCATTTTAAATAATTATCTCCTAAGAGATTTAGGGCAGTAAAATACAAGTTGTAATTCAACATCTACAAGGAAAAGTTTTGAGTCAAAATCATGTAATCGTTATGTCATGCGGTATTTGAGACCGAACCATGAATCGATTTACTTAGGGATTTGACTTTCCTCTTTTGCTTAGGATTAGATTTCCTCTTTTGCTTAGGATTAGATTTCCTCTTTTAATTAGGATTAACTTTTCCTTTTCCTTTTAGGATTTACTTTCCTCTTTACTCTAGGATTAATTTTCCTATTTCACTTATGATTTTAGATTTTTAAGATTTCCTATTTTATTTAGGATTTGGAAATTTTCTATTTTGAATAGAATTAATGATTTTCCTATTTACAATAGGATTTAAGATTTTCCTATTTTAATTAGGATTTTAGGGTTTTAAGATTTACAATAGGATTATCTTTTCTAAGGTTTCTAGGGTTCATGCGATTTTAGTTTTAGGGTTTCTAACAACTTATGCATGTAATCAATCAAAGAAACAATCAATCTAACAACCTAAACAACCTAAACAACCTCAATCAATCGATTATATTTTAGGGTTTTAGGTTTCCAATTCGATTTAGGGTTTTAAAAGTTTCGGCCATGGCTAAGTGTTTTCGAGTTTACGAGTTTGAGATTAAGCAATAATAACTTTCCTAGCAACTTAAACGAGTCAATCAATCGGATCATCCAAGGAAATAACAATCGCTTATCAAGCAAGGTTCGTTTTTAGAGTTTCTCTTTGCTTAACTTTCAAGTTCGATTGTTGGTTCTTTAGCTTTACGGACTAGAACCTGGAGCTAAAGACCTCGGTTATCAACTTGTCACGAGCGTATGGTCCTTGGAAGGAATCGCCGAGCAAAGGAGAAAACAAACGGACGGACGAGCTAGGGTTTTCAAAACAAATCGGCGCACACTGTATCTGTGCGTGAAGGCGCGTCGGTTGTCAGATCGACAAGACGTTTGCACTGATTGATTCGTCTCGGCGAGGGCTTCGATTTGATATCTTTCTCGTTTTCTGGGTCCTCACGATTTGAGAGAACGACCTCTTTGAAGTTCCGAGGCAGATTTCTTTGCGTTTTAGGGGTTTGATGGAGATAGAGAGATCGTGAGATTAGGGTATATGTGTCAGATCTTTAGCTAAGGGATTTAGAGGCTATCGTGCTGATAACGTGTTATGAATCTCGTGTATTCTTTTATTAATGAATGAGGTTACAACTTATATATATATACACAATAAGGGAGACAAATCCCAATTGGACTAGGAAACCCTAAAGCCCAAAGCCCACTAAGACTAACATAAACCGTCATTGGGCGAATCTTCTAGAAGATAGACATGGGCCTTCTAGAACATGGACATGGGCCTTCTAGAACATGGACATGGGCCACGGTTATGGAGTCCATCCGTAATGTGGTTTACAACAGAACCATCTTTATTGACAATTTTTTATTGATACAGTAAAAACGGTATTACATTCCTCCCTATATGTATATCCAGAGTTATATCAACATAATACAGACTAAGGGAAAAGATGAATAAAGCGTTGGTTTGGTTAATTACTTTGTTATGTCTAATGTTCTCTGCAACACCAAACATAGTTTTGGCCCATCCACCATACATATCTCCAAAAACAAGTAAGTTTCTAACTCTTACAAACTATATGAATTTTCTTTTGCTTACAAATATTCAAAATTAATCAGTTCTTGTTATTATTTTTAATATTGAAAAAGGAACAAGAGAAGGGGTTTGGGATCATAAGATAATGAATGTGAGAAAGATTCGAGTAGGAGGCAGTATTTCAAGGCGTGCACCTGGCAACAACCCCTAGCCACAATCTCATGGATTGTTAGTGTTGTTTTAGTATCATGCGATTTAACTTGGTCGCAAAAAAATATATTTTTGCATGAAATTATCAGATCGGTGATTGTTGGTAAAGAATTACAAGGAGATAAGGTTTATACATACATATATGATAGGATTGACATATTTAATGGTGATAAACGCCGATGAACTATAATCAATTAGTGATCTGATATACTGCAAAATCTCTGACCAGTATAAGCATGAACAAGCTAAATGCCACATTAAATGTAATTGTACATGAGTCATTATCACACGTCGAACCTACACGGATCTCAAATGTCATTGCACCCACCTTATCATTGTTGCCCTTCCTATTCTTTGAGTTTTTTTTGTGAAAGGGATTTTGTCTCTTCCATATATTGAATTAAAGCTTTGATCAAGAACACAAAATCTCAAGAATAACTCTCTCTTTATTAAGCTTTAGAAATTACTCAAACTAAAACTCAATCTCATAAGTTGTATCACACCTTGATACCTCCTTATATAACAAAAGCTATTGACCTAATCCTAACTCAATTAGGAATTGTATTAGATAACTCCTAATACATATATTCTAGATAACTCCTAGAATATTTAGCTTTATCTCTTTTATATTTTAGTAACTTATTTCAAGTTTATCTCAACATTTTCCCCCTTAAACTTGAAACCTTCCTTCGACACATCTTGAACACCGAGAAGATCTCTCATCTCCTAGAATCTGATCCTACCAAATGCCTTAGTCAAAATATCCGCTCTTTGCTCACTCCCGGGAACATGTTCAACCTCAACTTGTTCATTCTCTACACATTCCCGAATAAAGTGGTACTTCTTGTTGATGTGTTTGCTGCGCCCATGGAACACCGGATTCTTTGCAAGTGCTATCGCCGATTTATTGTCAATGAGTAATGTCACCTTCTTGCACGAGTTGTCAGTCACTTCTCCGAGTAGTTCTTGGAGCCATATAGCTTGTTTTGATGCTTCTGTTGCTGCCATAAATTCAGCCTCGCAGGACGACAAAGCCACCGTGTCTTGCTTCTGAGTACACCAAGTAATAGGACAATTCTCAAGGTAAAAGATGTGTCCAGTTGTACTTCTTCCATCGTCTTCATCTACATTGTGACTGCTATCACTATAGCCCACAAGCTCACCTTTGTCACCCCGAGTGAAAGACAGTCCAAGAGTAAGTGTTCCTCTTAAGTATCGGAGGATTTGTTTTAGTGCCACTCCATGTGATTCTTTAGGTTCTTGCATGTACCTACTTAATACACCAACACAGTACGAAAGGTCAGGTCGTGTATGCAGCAAGTATCTTAGACATCCTATGATCCTCCTATACTCCTTCTCGTCAATGCAAGTCTCTTCTTGTGCTTTTGACAACTTTAGTCCTGCGTCCATTGGTATTTGGACTGCGTTGCATCCTTCCATTCCCGTTTCTCCTAAGATCTTCGCAGCATATCTTTCTTGCTTCAACGTGATACCATCTTCATGTTGACATACTTCAATACCGAGATAATAGGTTAGTTTGCCAAGATCACTCATTTCAAACTTAGCCGACATTCCCTTCTTGAAATCCAAAATCATGTTCAAGTCTGATCCCGTGACAAGCAAGTCGTCCACATACACTGCGACTAAGAGAAGATGCTCCTTATCTCTCTTTCGATTCAATGAGGGTTCTTTCACACATTTAATAAAATTCAACTCCTTAAGAATTTTATTCAACTTATGATTCCACGCCCTAGGTGCTTGCTTTAAGCCATAGAGAGCTTTGTTTAACTTGAGGACCTTATCTTCACTTCCTTTGATCACAAAACCCTCGGGTTGAGTAACATACACTTCTTCCTTCAACTCACCATGAAGAAATGCTGTTTTTACATCGAGATGATGTATCTCCCATCCATTTGAGGCCGCTAAAGCAATGATGAATCTAACAGTTTCAATGCGTGCTACTGGAGAAAACACCTCGTCATAGTCTATACCAAGTCTCTGCACATAACCTTTCGCCACTAACCTTGCTTTATACTTGTTAATGCTTCCGTCTGAGTTTCGTTTTATCTTGAAAACCCACTTTAGTCCAATTGGTTTTGCTCCAATAGGAAGATCAACTAAGTCCCAAGTCTTGTTCTTTGTAATCGACGAAATTTCTTCATCGCAAGCATCTCTCCACTGTTCTAGCTCCTTTGCTTCATTAAAGTCCCATGGTTCCTCATTTAAAGAAAGTAAGAGACGTTCTCCTTCAAGTTCAGCTAACAAGACGTAATCTTCAAGATAGCTAGGCTTTTTCTTTGGTCTCGTCGAGAGAGCTCTTAATACGGGCTGAGACTGAACTGCTTCTTCTCCCTCCTCTGTTTCACCAACTTCCTCTGTTTCACCACCTTCCTCTGTCTCACCTATCGGAGAAGTATCTCCTTCTTCAGACCGTATCTCTTCACCTTCTTCAGCTTCCTCTGTTTCGATGTTACTCTGTTCTCCACTTCCTTTTACTCCAAAATCTCCAAAATTGACCTCATACATACTCGGATCATGACTGACTTCTTTTCCTTGACCACTCCACTTCCAGCTTCTGGTTTCATCAAACACCACATCCCTACTAACAATGATTTTCTAACTTGACGGGTCTAACAATCTGTATGCTTTGGAGCCTGGTTCTGTTCCCAAATGAACCAACATTCTTGATCTATCATCCAACTTCTTCAAGTGTGTAGACTCTGACTTTGCATACCCGATACAACCAAAGACTCGTAGGTGTTCAACATTTGGTTTTTTTTCTTTAAAGACTTCATACGTTGTTTGATTTTCAAGAGTTCGTGTTGCTACTCGATTGATCAAGTACGTGGCATGTCTTACAGCTTCTCCCCAAAGATAGTTTGACATAGACATATGTTTTAAAATGCTTCGCGTCATTTCCATCAATGTTCTGTTCCGTCTCTCTACCACTCCGTTCTGTTGCGGTGAATATGGTGCTGTCAAATGCCTTTTAACTCCGGTGCTGTCACAAAACTTTTGAAACTCGATAGATGTGAATTCTCCACCCCTGTCCGTACGAAATGTCTTGATAGAGTTCCCGGTTTCTTGTTCTACTAATGCTTTGAATCCTTTAAATCTTTCAAAGGCATCACTCTTCTCTTTCAAGAGTAGCGTCCACATGTACCGAGAATGGTCATCTATTAGTACAAATATGTACTTGTTCTTGGCAGCCGTAGAAGGTGTGATTGGTCCACAAAGATCACCGTGAATAAGCTCTAGTGTGGTGGTTGCACGATATGATGTAGCTTGAGGAAAAGTTTTCCTTATTTGTTTCCCAAGTAAGCATGATGAACAAGTTTCCTTTTCAACATTAAAGATTGGCATTCCAGTGACTAGCTCCTTTTTAACCATTGTCTTCATAGTTTCAAGTCCAACATGACCAAGTCTTGCATGCCACTTTGCTGAATCATTTGATGTCATGAGTTGTAGGCATCTCGTATTTTCTACTTCCATGAGCACCTTGTAGAGACGATTCTTTGACCTGCTTGCTCTTACCAACAACTTTCCATCACGATCATACAAAACTAGACCTTCTCCTTTCATTTTAACTTCGCAACCCGCTTCTGTGGCTTGACCAAGAGAGATAATGTTACTTCGCAAATCTGGTATATAGTAGACATCGGCCAGAACTTTTCGTTCACCATCTTTGCTCACAAAAAGAATCGATCCCTTCCCCTTTATATCAATACGGGAATCATCTCCGAATCTCACCTTTCCCGTAATTGTCTCATCAATCCTTGAAAAATACTCTCGGTTCCCGGACATATGGTTACTTGCTCCATTGTCTAAGTACCATACGTTGTTTGAATCCGTTTGTGCTTCAAAATCACTAGTCTTTATGTTCTGCTCATTGAGATATACGACCTCATGCACCATCAACTTGTCAGCCTCATGTGTTTCATCTCCGTCATTCTCATATGCTTCTTGAAGTTTAAGCAGCCTGTCTGGACAGTTTGACGCGTAGTGTCCAGTCTTATCGCATCTATAGCATATGACCTTTGATTTATCTCTCCCTTGCTGGTTCTGATAGTTTCCGTAGCGACCACGTCCTCTTCCTCCTTGAATGAAACGACCTCCTTGACCTCTTCCTCTTCCTGACCCGTAGCTTCCTTGGTAGGTTTGTGAATCTGAATTAACATACATAAGTTTCCCTTGATCTTCTTGTTGATTTTCTTCTTCATCACAAATCCTCTCCTCATAGGTTTTCATCCTACCTACGATGTCTTCAAAGCTGGTTTTATTGAGATCAAGTACTTGTTCTAACGCCGCAATGATGTGTATATACCTCTTTCTTGGTAAACTGTTGATAAATTTCTTTACAAGTTTGGTAGTTTCAATAGTTACTCCCAAAGATGCAGATTTAGTGGCTATCTCAGAAAGTTTACCAGCAAAACCATCAATAGTATCAGCGTCTTTCATCTTTATTCTTTCAAATTCAGACATTAGAGTTTGCAGTCTCGCTTCTTTAACCCTCTCAGCTCCGATATTTCGTGAATTTATTGAATCCCAAACCTTCTTTGCGTTATCCTGGTCTCCAACTTGCAAGATAAGCGCCTCCGGTATAGATTGGAATAACAAAGCCCTAGCTATGTCATGTTTCTCTTCATCGTTGGTTCCTGGATCGATGGTCTCCCAGACTTTATGTACCTTGAGCGTTGCTCGCATCCTCATAACCCACGCGGTGTAGTTTGTATCATTAAGCATAGGACATTTAATCGAAGAGGAGGAACCGCCTTCCTTGCCCTTCACGGCGACGATATCTCCCATCCGTTTGTCTTATGAAAACAATACTTCTCTTAGGTTTACCTTCCTTGAAATCTCGAAATCAAAACACTTAATTCAATAGGTTTAGAGCTCTGATACCAATTATTGAATTAAAGCTTTGATCAAGAACACAAAATCTCAAGAATAACTCTCTCTTTATTAAGCTTTAGAAATTACTCAAACTAAAACTCAATCTCATAAGTTGTATCACACCTTGATACCTCC